CTAACTCCCTTACACCTAGGACATTTGCTTACACTTACAACACATAAGCGGAAGAAATTTGGTTTTTTTTATTTTTTTTAAAGATTTATTTATTTATGCGTACAAGAGCTGGGGTACAGGCCAGAGATGCAGGGGATGAGAGGATTCACCAGAGACAGAGTGGGGAGCAGAACAGGCAGACTGACTGAAATACACTGCTGAGGGGAGCAGTGGGCGAGACAGAAGAGGTCTGCTGCACCATGTGGGTTGCTCCCTGGCCGGCCGAGGATCGAACTTGTGCCTCACAGGCTGCGGATTGCTTCATAGTGCAGTGCTTAACCCCTTGTGCCACCAGGAAGGCCTTAATTTGGCTTATTTTATATTTGTTTTATACCTGTCTCTAGATTTGATAAAAGCCCCAAATGATATACTGCATTCCATGTATGTAGGTAGTGATGTGTGTGGGTACTGGGCCCCAGGCTTTTCTTCTTCCAGTTAAGTTGTTCCAATTTTTATTATATCTCTAAAACTTTTCTCCCATAGTTTCGTGTTTTTAAATTGAGGGGGAAAGTATTCTATGATGGGAGTTCGCCTTCAAATTTATAACTTTGCCATCTGTATCAAATAGTTTGTTTCTGTTGTTTTCTGTTAATGATTTTATATCAACCAATATGACTATGATCTGAATGCTGTATCTCCCCCAAACTCTTGAGTTGAAATCCTAACGTCAGTGTGATGATTTTAGTATGTAGGGCCCCTGGGGGTGCTTAGTCACCAGGGTGGAGCCCCTTATGAATGGGATCAGTGCTCTTATAAAAAAGATCCACTTGGGGCCTCCCTGGGGGCACAAGGAGTTAAGACGCAACCTATGAAGCTGTCCACAGCCTCTGCAGCATGAGTTCAATCCCCAGCCAGCCAGGGAGATACCCACATGGCGCAGCAGACCTCTCCTGACTCGCCCACTGCTCTCCTCAGCAGTGTACTTCGGTCGATCTGCCTGTTCTGTTCCCCACTCTGTCTCTGGTGAATCTTTTCTCTCCCCCTCCCACATCTCTGGGCTGTACCCCAGTTCTTGTATGCATAAATAAATAAATCTTTAAAAAAGAAAAAAAAGACCCACAGAAATCTGTTGTGCATTCTGCCAAATTGAGAAGCTGACTTCTGCAAACAGGAAGAGGACTCTCACCAGAACCTGACCATGCTGGCACCCTGACCTTAGACTTCTAGGCTCAACAACTGTGAAAAATACATTGCTGTTGTTTATAAACCACACAGCAGCCTGAACTGATTAAGATAAAACACACTATTAACATATGACCATTAACATCTGCTTAAGATGAACTTACAATATTAACATATGGCCAACCTTTTCAATTTGATATTTCACTACCAGTTTAGTCCTTGCCTCCCTGGAAGCAAAAGACAGAGTTACCAAGAAGCAGTGACAAGATAGGAAGAAACAAGAGATCACTGTACTTAATTGACCTCTATTACACTACTTTATCTCAAGCTTTTTTAACAGAAGGTGAGAATGATGCACTGAAAGAGGCAAGAGACTTTCAGTTTCTAATCAAAAGACCTCTAATATGTACGAATGCACCAAAAATATATGAAAAATAATTTTTATCACCACTAACCTGAAGCTTGAATTAAAGTCTGTTTGCTTTTTTCTTCCTCCTTATTCTCTCTATCTTTAATAAAAGTGCTAAGAAAAAAAAATGGGCAAGGAATGAGGCATGAGGGAGAAATGAGAGGTTACCTTATAATGCTGACAGCTAACTGTATCTTGCCAAAGTTAAATGCTCTTTGGTTTTTGGAGCCCAGCAAAAACATGTACTTCCACATGTATTTCTTTATGAGGAAGTATGGCTCAGAGAGGATAAAGTTCTCATTCAAAACTGTCAGTGAACAAACCAATGTTTCTAATCAAAAGATCTGTCCTGTAGTAATCATCTGAACATTCTTCACAATCACTGATTACACACCAAGAACCATAACAATGACTTCTGGCCCTGGGAGATCACTTCAAAATGGACACTGGGCAATTTCATTTAGAACAAATGTTTAGTTAGCAACCTTATGTTTGCTTTAATTCCAGTTCCTTAAATACAGTGGCGCTTAACCACTGTGTTCAATAATTAAGGAATATGGTCCAAGTAATTTGTTGTGCTCATGTCCCCTGTGAAGTTTTTAAACTGGTCAGTTAATTCTAGACAATTTAATTCAATGTGTTTTTCATTCTAGTTACAAACTAAATATTGGATATACTCTAGATCAGGGGTTCTCAATCTTGACATGATTAACACGGGTCCAGATAATTGCTTGCTGTGGGGTCTGGTCTGGGTATGAGAGGAAGTCTAGCAGCACCCCTGACCTCTACATACTAGGTGCCAACCCTGAAGCTCAGCACCCCTGAAGCTCTGACAAATGAAAACGTCTCCAGACACTGCCATATGTTCCCTAAAGGACAAAATCAGAGCCACTGTCTGGATAAATGTCAGCTTCCATAGAGAGAACTGGTTTGGATGATTCTAAGAGCGAAACTATCCCTTCCTCTTATGTTTAATTTTCAGACTGGCTACTTTCTCCCAGTCTGATGTCCAGTGAATTTATTTAATCAAGTCATGCCTTTGTTTTCTCCTCTGGAAAACGGGATTGATAATTATTTCCACAACTCCTGAAGACTAAATAAAATGAGCCATGCAAAATCCTTAGCAGAGCAATTAACAAATAGCAAGCACTCAGTAAGCATGGGCTGCCATTATTGCTACTCTAAACTGAAATTTAGTTTAGAAGTCATTCAAAGCTGAGGATGAACCAATCAGTGTTTCTAATCAAAAGATCTCTGTCATGTAGCAATCATCTGAACATTTTAGTTTAGAGGTCCTCCCTATGCAATCAGTGAGCTAGGGCTTTTTGTGTATTCAGCTAGCAAAAGAAAGATTTTGATTGAGGGACAGTTGTTCTTTTGAGTAAACAACATGATGGAAGGGGTGAGATAAGGATTTTGGAGGGAGAAATTTGGGGTATAATTTACATTTCCTTGGGCAAATTCCAAATGTGCTACCTTCATCATCATTACATGCAAGTTAGCAGTGGAAGTAATATCATCAACAATGTGTTTGAAATATAAAGACATGAACTATAATTTTTAAAAGCACCATGAAAATGACTGCAATGCATAGGTGATGCCAGGATCTCTTCTAGAGAGTGTAATTGACTGTACCCTCCAATTTCTGTGCTTTGAAACCCATCACCTCACCTGCTCCAAAGACCATGCCTTCCTCTGGCTACTCCCCACCAATGACCAAGTAGGAGAGAGGGTACTAAGGCAGATACCAGGGAGACACAGCACTCTGTCTTTTGGCTCCAGCAAGAATGAAATAATAAATTAACATTTTACACATTTGCTTCTGATATTTTTCTTTTTATAAAATGCTTCACAGTTTAATTATGCTGCATATCCCTCCACAATTCTACTTCTTTCCCACCTCAGAGGTGGCTAGTATTCTAATCTATGCATATTTTCCCATTTTCACTATCTGTGCCATGATACACACACACACAAAATACATTTTTTGTTTTCAAATTTTAATAAGTGGTATAATATTGTGTATATCATTCTAAAAGAAACTTTTTTTGTTCAACAGTTATTTGTAGATGTAATTGTTATGCTAATTATATCTAAATGCCTTCATTTGAATTGTTACATTACACTGTCTACTATACTCCATTGTATGACTATCATAATACATCTTTTCTCCTGATGGATGTTGTCAATATTATCATTAGTACAAAAATGCAAACATTCAAAATCACTTTTTGAAGTTTATTTAAAGAAAATAAATATAATTTTACAAAATATGAAACCTGCAGGCAAATATACAGATGAAACTAAACTAATAATCCAAGTAAACCTAAGGGATACACTAAAGAATACTTTTTAGAGTGTTATGCATTTTTTTATATATTTATTTATTTTTTTATACAAGAGCTGGGGTATAGGCCAGAGGCACGGGAGGGTAAGAGGTTTCACCAGAGACAGAGCAGGGAGCAGAACAGGCAGACGACCGAAATACACTGCTAAGGGAAGCAGGAGAGGTCTGCCACACCATGTGGGAATCTCCCTGGCCAGCCAAGAATCGAACCTGCGCTGCAGAGGCTGCAGACAGCTTCAAAGCGCTGCACTCAACCTGCTGCGCCACCAGGGAAGCCCGTGTTATGCATTATTAGCAGTCAATTCCTTTCTGAGATATGTGCTACTTGACAGGAAGGATAGCTCTACTAGCAGACAGTAACCAATACACAATTTTTCACATTGCTATTCTCTCATCAGCCATAGCCCAGAGGGCAGTCACTCTAGTGCCTAACCTTATCATTTTCTGTTAATATTTAGTGAACATTTCAAATACAATTAGCTGCTTCTTCAGATCAAAGGCTTTTACATCTGCCCCACATGCAAACCAGAGCTATACATGGAACACTAGAAGCTGAATTGCTCCATTCTTGTATTTTTGTGTGACTCACACTGAAATATAGAAATGAGAGATGGAATTCTAGGGCTAAACAGCTAGAAAATATTAATTCAAACTTGAATATTCTTCAAAGAGACTGTGGGGGCAATACTATCTTCACAGGAAGAAATATAAGGGAAGCAAGTGACAAAATGTTTTCTACAGGACTCTTCTTTTTGGCTGTTTTGATTCCACCTGGTAAGTCCAAAATATATTTTTAGAATCTTGTTTAATTTTTAAAAACTCATTTCAAAGATAGATTTAAAAGTCATTAATAGCACACTTAAAACCCAAATTTTCATTATTAAAAATGGAAGAGGAAGACTACATGGTCCTTAATTGCTACTGGTTCTGTAGTGAAGGAAATATAACCATGGAATGAGGTGATTTTATGAAAATTTGCTCAGTTTTGGTCTGGGACTTAAATGGAACATACTTAGAAGGTAAGAAGTTTGTGTAAAAATGTAATTTAGAAAATTCCTGAATCTGAGACAGGTGAGGATTAGGATGAGGGGTATGCCCCTTAGTAATCACAGTGGGTGAGAAAAATAAATTAATAAATTGACTAATATATAACTCAATCCCTTAGGACACATATTAGTTGCCAAGTGACAGTACTATATCTTGATCAAGGTATCAAATTGAAGTTTGGCTCCAAGGTATAAGACTTTTGAAACCCCTCTTAAAAATACATTAAAAAAAAAACATTTCTATAGCTTCTCTTCAGAGAAGTAAATAGCAAACTATTTTCTAAAAAAAAAATCAACAGTCAAATTAACAAGTTCTTGTTTTTGCTAGCTTTGAAGAGAAATGATGAGTTTGCTAACTGAAGCTTTTCACGAATGTTAACATTGGATGTCCAGGAAATTCAGTTCAATTGAACATTTGTCAAGTGGCTACTAAATTAGAGAGGATTTAAAACAAAGTTTACATAAAATACACTGAGAGCCAGCCCCTTCCTCTAAGTCTTAACTGCTCAATCGTGTTTCATGTAATAGTTTCTACTCCCTTCCCAACTTATCTTCTCACTCCACACTAGGTTAAATGGGTTTAACATGTTCTTACTTCTAAGAATTTCCCTTTTCCATGTTTGCAAATGAGAGAGATATATTTACTATACAATAAACTTGGCCAGTTCAATTTGTTACTCCTTTAATACAAACACTTTCTTGGATTTGATTAGAAAGGCTAACATTCAAGGACCATTTCAAAGTTAATTTAGAAATTCTAGAATTATTTCTGTGAATCATGCTGTTTGATTATTTTGCTTACCCTAATCACAGGTTTATGTCAGGCCAAGTAATAAACAAAGAAAATTTGAAAAGTACTATTTATGCCATTAATCAGTAAATAAGCTGAAATAAACTGTCATAATGGAAGTTAATGATTATAAACAAACACATTTATAAATACTCTATATGACATGAAACAGAATTTTGTGAAGTGAAAGGCTAATTTTATATCTACATCAGGAGTTAGAGGAAGATCTTCCCTGATTTGAACTACAGAAAGTTAGGGAAAAACTATAATGAAAGCAGAATTTTCAGAATCCACTGGGAGACATAAAGCAAATGGATACCAGAAATATATGAGGTTAGAAATCTGCTTCTCTTTTTTCTCCTTCTTAGCACTGGCTGGACCGTGGGCTAATATATGTGCAGGCAAGTCTTCCAATGAGATCAGGACATGCGACGGCCATGGCTGTGGCCAATATGCTGCTCAAAGGTATGGGCTATCCAGATAATCATCAGACTCTTTTGGCTCTAAACCTCTTTGCTTGGTGTTCTTGCCTAACATTTCCCTGAGTGATCATAATCATCCCCCTGAAATGGCAGGGAGCTCAGAGAGAAACCAATTACATTATTACCTTTGGAGTAACTTTCAAGAACTCTGCTTCAACTGTGGGCTCTAAAGTAGGAACAGAGCATGGGATAAGGAAAAAAGAGGGGGGACGCTGTGTTTTCCCTCTCAAAGACTTCATACTTGGATTATCTCATCAGGCTTTTCCAAAGTGAAGATCCAACATTACTATCCCATTTTGTACATGAGGAATTTGAACTGAGGCACCAAAGGGCTAACAGACAAGCCAAACATAGTTGGAGATACTGAAGGTTGGGCTTAGATTCAGTCTTTGGGGTTCACGTTGCATCACAACATATTATACTGACCCAGGCTCTGAGAGTCAAACATCAGAGGCTGCCCTAAGTAGGTCATTTCCTCCAGACAAAGTGAATTTTGTGAATTTTCAGTAACACAGCACCATCCCGGGATGTCATTCTCTGATGAAACAGCCATGTGTAAAATTTTATCACTGATCTCCATCCTAATTGTAGTGGAACTTTCACTTACACAAATACTACTTACAAAGCAATATGAGTATCTGGAATGGAGCTAAGAAACAAGAAATATGGAAAAATGGTCTCTGAGTTGCCAAATTTAATAATCAATTAGTTCATACCCACTGGACTTATACAATAACTCACTGGCTATTCACTTGGGAGCTGCTGGACATTGCTTAACATGTATTCCTAACAATCCTGGTGAGTCTGACTTTCCAGGTAAAGACTATAAGAAGGGGGCCTCCCCGGTGGCGCAGCGGTTGAGCACTGGGTTGCGAAGCTGCCCGCAGCCTCTGTGGCGCCGGTTCGATCCCCGGCTGCTCCCCGGCCACTGGAGGAGGGTCCCACATGGCGCGCAGACCTCTCCTGCCGCCCGCTGCTCCCCTCAGCAGTGTACTTCGGTCCTTCTGCCTGCTCTGCTCCCCGCTCTGGCTCTGGTGAATTCTCTCACCCTCCCGCGCTTCTGACTGTACCCAGTGCATGTATAAACAAAACAAACAAACAAATAAATAAATAAATAAAGCATGCCTCTATAAAAAAAAAAAAAAAAAGACTATAAGAAGGAAGAACAGGTGGTCAGAGCAGGGAGTGACAGCAGTGAGGATTATTAGATAATTATATTTTGTTCTGTACACTTTCACAAACCCAGAAGTATCGCTTACTGCATTAAAATACCATATGCAATGCAGTACATGATGTTTATAAGGACTTCTGGATCGCTAAGAGAAAAACAAGACTAGGGTAACAGGTGATTATTTTATGATAGATAGATTTCATTAAATGACAACACTTTTCTAAGTATCTTGATGGGGGTCAAGGTATCTATAAAATTTACTTACAAAGATTGCCTCATTTCCCCAAAATGCCACATAATAGTATATAATATTTTCAAAGGGGTTTTTGTACCAAGAGCTATTTTAAATGCCTTAATTTTCACAACATGGTTATTTCTACCTGCAGGGAAGGAGGATAAAACTGGGCTAAACGGAGTCAAGAAACCTCAACATGGATTGGAAATCCTAACACGTTCTGGCAGCTTAAATTTTTGAAATTCTAGTCTGAGAATAATATGCTAATACCACATTCCTGTGCAATAAAGCACCCAGGGCAGTGACTCAATTTGTTCAATCTTATTTACATCCTAGAAATCATATGCTTCACCAGGGTGTGGATGTCCTGTGCTCTGATGGAGCTACTGTTTATGCACCTTTCACCGGAAGGATTGTGGGCCAAGAGAAACCTTACACAAATAAAAATGCTATCAATAATGGTGTTCGGATATCTGGAGGAGGTAAGAGTGGATATACCTGGGAGAGGTCTGATCCTTGTTTAATGCATATTCCATGCATTAATGGACTTTCACAAAAGTCCCTACTTTCTTCAGAATAATAAAACCTAGAACACAGAGGATATAGGGCACCAACAAAAATAGCTACTGTATTTTCAAAGATGTTCTACCACTTCTCCTAAATCAACAAAACTCTATAACCAACTGAATCACAAACCCAACAAAACTCTATAACCAACTGAATAACTTTCTTTCTGCGGCCCATGTGGTTTTGCTTAACAATCTATAAACAAAATCACTTTTAGCAATATTAACTGTAATAGATATGTCCGTTTATCCAAATCCCACAATTTGAAAACAATGATACTTGATTTTCAAAGGCCTCTATGTTCCAAACATAGCTGGGTCTCCTGGTACTCTAGACATTGGGGTTTTTTTTTTTTTTCATTTCTTTAATTCTACTGAGGTATAACATACCTCAGAGCAAGTGTGCAAAGACTAAGTGTACAGCTCCATGAATTTTTGAAGGGAATGTAACTGTGTAACCAGCATGCTGATCAAGAAAGAGGATATCAGTGGCATCCTGGAGACCCCTTTTGCTACCTTTAATTATTTTTCCCAGCAAGATAGTTGCTATCCCAACTCCTAACATCATATACTAGTTTCACCTGCTTTCAAAACGATACAAGCAGCATGCAGTGGTTTTTGTGTAGCTTTCACTCCACATCATGTTTGTGAGAGTCATCCTTGTAGTTTTAGCTCCTTCATCCTTCCATTATGGGTACAGATTATCAATTTAATCATTTGTCTCTAGGTGGGCACTGGAGTAGTATCCATATTTAAGTGATTATGAAAAAACTACGAACTTTCCTGTATACGTCTTGTAATGAATATGTATGTGCATTCCCATTGGGAATGGATCTGGGGGACACCCCCATGCCATATCAGTGAGAAGAACTTTGTGAAGCAGCCCACATCCTTGAGGATGTGGAAGGTGGCTATCCTCTTTAGGCCTAAAATCACAAGAGAAACCACTGCCAATGATCAGGATCCACTTAACAGCCAAGGTCAAGGTTAGCATGGTTACCTAACAGGCAGCAGAGCTGAAGCAGTAATCAGAGTCATCAGAATCAGAGATGTGTAGCATTCGCTAGTTAATCATGGTGTCCCTAGAAATGAAGAGATGGGTAGCTTATGAAAGCCTTAATATTTAAATAGAAATGTTGTAGGTCTGATGAACAAAATTCTGTCTTCAGTAATCACAACAATGGGTCACAAATATCACCCCCACAACAAACTTCCAGTCTTGAGCCAGTTCGCAATGCCAGGGCCCCTGAGTGATGGGAAGGCCAAGTCCATTTAAGGAAAGGGCTCTGTCACAGGCAAAAATTTTTACTCTGGTCATCCCCAAAGGGATGTGCAGCCACTTAGCAGGATAACTGCACTTTGGGGAATAAGAATTAAGTTCTTTGGCAATTATTGGACACTCACTCAAAACTGAAACTAATTCCTGGATACTCAAAAGGTCACTGTGGTTCACCAATGAGACCAGGGTATACTACAGTCAGGTGAGCAATGTAGTTTTTCATCAGAGTCAACCTTACAATCCGCCCACTGCATTCACAAGTTTACCCTGTGGTCATTTCCCCAGTTTTAGAATGTATAATTAAATCAATGTACCTATTCGGCAGTTAGCAAATGCTATAGGAGTGGAACTGCTGGGCTACTTGGTAATAGCATCAATCTATACTCCTGCCAGGAGTGTGTGGAAGTTCCGGTTGTTCCACACATAGGGCCTGCTGTTATCTCTATCATTTTCCTTTCAGCCATTCTGAGGAGTGTGTAGTGGCATCTTATTTCAGTTTAATTTGTATTTACCTGATAACTAATGAAATTGAGTGCTTTTTCATATTTTTTGATAACATTGGTATTATCTTCTGTGAAATACCTACTAAGTAGTTCACAGTCTATTCTTGCTTTTTTTCTCTTACTGGTATGTAGAAGCCTTTTCCATATTCTGGATATGAGTACTTTGTCAGCTCTATGTAAATATTTTTTATTCTATTGGCTGCCTTTTCACCCACTGTTGCCATTTAATAAACAGAAGTTCTTTTTAATGCAGGCCAATGTAGTACTATTTATTTTATTAACACATTTTAACCTGCTTTAGACACATTTGTCCACCCTGACGTCATGAAGATAATCCTATATATTTTTGTCTACAAACTTTATTGTTTCATCTTTCCTATTTAAATCTATAAGCCACCTAGAACTGACTTATATGTAAGGAATGACATAGGGATAAAAATTTTTAACCAATTTTATTTCTAATTGACTCAGCACCATTAATTTGACAAGACCCCTTTTTCCCTACTGCACTGCAGTATTTTTGTCATAAATCAGGGTCTGAATAAATGTGGTCCTATTTCTGGTTTTCCTATTTTATTTTTTCTATTGTGTTTCGGTCAATTTGCTAATATTGCACAAATACCACACCATCTGAATTACTATAGCTTTAATATGTATCTTGATAACTGGTAGTAAAACCTTCTAACTTTGCTCTTCTTCCAGATTGCCTTGGCAATTCTTGGTAGTTTAAATTCCAAACAAATTGTAGAATCAGTTTGTCAAGTTCCACCATTCTCTACTGGGACTTTGATTGGCTTTGCATTGAATATATAGAGCAATGTGAGAAACACAAACATTTTAAAAGCAGTCAATGAGGGCCTCCCTGGTGGCACAAGGGGTTAAGCACTGCCCTGTGATGCAATCCACAGCCTCTGCAGCATGAGTTCTATCCCAGGCGGCCAGAGAGAAACCCACATAAGCGAAGCAGACCTCTCCTATTTCGCCTGTTGCTCCCCTCAGCAGTGTGTTTTAGTCAGTTTGCCTGTTCTGTTCCCCACTCTGTCTCTGGTGAGTCCTCTCACCCCCGTTCATCTCTGGCCTGAACCCCAGCTCTTGTATAAATAAATAAATCTTTAAAAAAAAATAAAAGCAGTCAATGAACACATTATATCCCTCCATTTATTTAGGTCTTCTCTTTCATTGTTATATTAGTTGTAGAGTTCTTATACATCTTTTATATGTACCCAAGAAACACCTTATTGATTTTGTTTAAATCATCTACAGCAGTACAATACAAAGGAAATATAGTAAAAATATTTCTAGTACCCACATTAAGTAAAAATTTTCTAGTAATCACATTAAGTAAAAAGAAACAGGTGAAATTAATTGTAATAAATATTTCTAAAATATTACTTCAACATATAACATAAAAACTATTAATAAGGTTTTTGTACTAAGTCTTTAAAATCCAGTACGTATCTTAGAGCACATTAACTCAGATTAGCTACATTTCAAATGCTGAAGGGCTGCATGTGGCTGGTGGCTACCACACTGGAGAGCATAACTGATACCCCTTCCTTGTTTTATGTTCAGTTGATCTGTTTGCACTTAAAGAAGTGTGTTAAAGTCTCTTCTTTATATAGATGACTTCTGTGTTATTTAATGCACAGGTAGTTTAAACTATTGTCTCCTCATGCCTTTAGCACTATAAATTGACTTCTGTTTTGGTTCAAAGCCAGAGTTCCACTTTTTGGTAGCAGAATCATAGGCCTTGATTTCCTGATTGCTACCATTTGCTTTGCAAATCTTTGTCCAGCCCCCTAATTGTAAGCCTTTTTTGATTACTTTGTTTTATAGACACATATAGAAGTGGGTTTTTCTTTCCAAGCCAACAGAAAAATCTCCTTAACAGCCAACATTTGCAGATATAACCTGTATTATCTCAACACTGTCATTTTTTTTTATAATTATGGTATTATAATAAGTCTCTATTTCTCTGTTTGGTGGGTCCTTTGCTTTTAAAACTGTTTTCTTCTGGTATTTAAGATGATTTATATTCTTGTGCCAGTTATTTCCATTTTTCTTTTGTCCTTAATGTATAATAATTTTATTAAGTATGCCTTGGAGCTGACATTGCTTTGGGTCAATTTTCTCAGCAACCTAGTATTTTTTCTGTTATTCTTCAAAGACTAATATATTTTCACTTGAATCTATACTCCCTTGGGCATCTTGTAATTTTAATCTTCATTTCTGATAAGATTTTGTCATTTTATTCTTTACTGAGTTCAATTAATACTCATTTGTCTTTTTATCCATTCTCAGCAACCTAGTATTTTCTCTTATTCGTCAAAGACTTTATTAAATTTTATTTGAATCTGTTCTCCCTTGGGCATCTTATAATTTTAGTCTTCATTTCTTCTTCCTTATTGAGTTCAATTAATACTCATTTCCTTTGTCCTTTTATCCACTTCGGCTTTTATTTTGTGAACTTTGATTCAAAAACCCAGATAGTGAATAATTTTATTTCTTCTTTTCTTTCAGGTTTCTGTATTAAAATGTTCTACATTAGGCCAATTAAATATAAAGGTTCTATCAAAAAGGGAGAAAAACTGGGAATGCTACTACCCTTGCAGAAAGTTCATCCTGGCATACAATCCCACATACATATTGAAAACTGTGATTTGAGTGATCCTACTAGGTACCTATAAGTGGAAGATGAATGATCAGATCTTCTAAATAGAAAGTCATCTTTTAAAAGCCTGGATACTGGGTCTCCCTGGTGGCGCAGCAGCTGAACGCTGGGTTGCGAAGCTGCCCGCAGCCTCTGCAGCGCCGGTTTGATCCCTGGCCACCAGGAGAGGATCCCACATGGCACGCAGACCTCTCCTGCCGCGCCTGCTGCTCCCTTCAGCAGTGTACTTTGTCACTCGGCCTGTTTTACTCTCTGCTCTGGCTCTGGTGAATTCTCTCACCCTCCCATGCCTCTGACTGTACCTAGTGCTTGTTTAAATAAATAAATAAATCCTTAAAAAATAAGTAAGTAAGTAAGTAAATAAATAAATAAATAAAAGCCTGGATACTATAGCCTGGGTCTCAAGAAATGTGTGTTCAAACAGAAATACGAGAGATGATATTTTGATTTGAAGTCATTGCCACTTTGATGTTTGAATGTCAACTAATTTCCCGGTACTCCCTGATTTTTCTGTCACCTGTGGGATCTGGGGTGTTTTAAGATTTCTCACTCCTGAATACACCAGATAAAAAGCACATGAATTCAAGCTGATCCAGAGTGCATTTTTGACCCTTCTAAAATTAGCTACTTTTTACTTGAAAGAAAAAATAAGAAAAAGCCTGATGCATATTTTATGGTATAAGAACAGTGTTGTACAATGGTAGATACTCATATACAAATATTAAATACATATTAAATACCCATACACAAATATTAAATAAATTGCAAGTTTCTTTTGAGTTAAGGTAGTCAGAATTTCAGCCATTATCATTAGGTTTGTAAAGTTGGTTGGAGGGTGAGCTGCTTGTATGGATAATACAGAATATTCTGGTCTTTATAGCCATACTTTCCTATACTTTTTATGAAGAGAATTTCTAGGTATTGAATGATGGTAGTCCAAGGAAATATGTAATATTCTAGAATTCAATAAGATTGCAATACAGAGAGTACCAGAAAGAGAAAGAGGTGAATCTCAACCACAAGTATCTCCTAGAACAGAGTCAGTTAGCCTCATCTGGTCAAACACATGTCATAGACACTTATTTCTACACATCATTGTTTATCTATATTATTCTGTTCCTAGATATGTTGACAATAGGTACTAAGAAGAAACAAGATCATGCAAATGTTCAAAAAAACCCAAAAATGAGTTCTACTCTTTGGTAGTAGGATCATATGCCTAGAGATTTTAGTTAGTCAATAAGGAATAAGTAAGTTGAAATCATTATTCTGGAAACTTTCTTCATGAATTTTTGCTTAGTAAGTTTTAGAATACACAAAACTCCAAAAGAATGATTCTATTCTTAGTATAGACATATGAGAGGAAAATGGAACTATCGGACTTGAGAAATGGCTGGACAAATAAATTAAGCCTTAGCTATAAGGTGGAATATTATACAGCAATCACAAACAGCTTGCTATTCTTTTTATAAAGTTAAAACTATTAAAATCAAAGCACAACTTTTAGGAACACATAGATATAAGAAGGAAATCAAACAAATAATGAACACTAAATACCTCAGGACCAGATAGAGGACAATTCAGAAAAATTTAAATCACTATCAGTGCTGTAGTTTTATAATTGGGAGGTGATTTCATGAGCATTTAATATTATAAATAACACTTCACGGAAACTTCTATAACACTTCATAGAAACAACAGGACTTACATGTGTGTGACAAGGAAGAAGAGTTAATGATGACTCTCAGATAGTTTAAATCTACTGCCACACAATTAATACTTTTTCAGATCCAGTTAGATGCTATTCTCTACTGTGTCATAACATTTTATACAAGGCTAACAAATCAAGAATTTCATTTTTGGTTAAAAAAAATGAAAACTATAATCAGCACTGTCTGGTTTTATCATGTACCTTATTTATCTCCTTAGCATCATTAACTAGAGGTTGTTTCCAGAAATTAAATTTGTTTTCAAAGGACAAAGGCTGTACTCTAATTGAGAAAACAAAAAAGGAAACACAGAGATTTTTAAAGGCAATTTTGTAAAGAGCTCCAAAATGCTAGAACAATGAAATATATACTTAACCTTTGAAATAACCAACCTTTGGATATGTATGGGTATTATCTTAAAAGCCAGATTCATTACCTGGAATGAAGAGCTTCCCCAAGGTAGAGCAAGAACGTTGCCTTCTATTTGAATGCCTAGCATTGGACAAGCACTCTCATATCTGTTGAATGGAAATGCAAACTTTAGACTAAAGGACTTCTTCCTTAGGAAGAACTAGAATATAGCGCCCTCTGGTGCATTATAAACAGTTTTGTTTTTTAATTTCTTTTAGATTTTGAGTATCAAAATATTCAGCTTAAAGTATTGTAAATATATAAAATGAATTTTTATTTAAAAATTGTTTTGAGTTTTCTATAGGAAAGACATTGAAGAACAAGATAAGTGGCAAATTTAAGAGGCCACGGCTTACAGAGGAAAGAATTCTTACATCCTTATGAAAACATTTCTGACTTTTATGGTATATTAATAGAAATACATAACTTCAAAATCTACCCATCTCCCTAATACTTAGCAAGGCTCATAAGGTTGGGAAAACAAGAATTTGAGAATCCTATTTTTCTGTCTCTCAATATAATCGTAAATAGGAACTTCCCTCCCATTTCCTCCATTTACATCTTACACATAAAATTATCCTAAATATTCCAGAGCCCTCTAACAAATGCAAAGAAAATTTTAACATGAACAAGTATAGAACTAAAATATTTTTCATAGAAGCTTGAAATCAATCCAATATCAAACTCATTCATTTAACTAGAATCTTCTAATGTTTAGGCAAACGGTACTTAAAAGATTTCCAAAACAAACTAAGACTTTTTTATTGCTGAACCATCAAAATTACTCTTTATTTTCTTGTCTTGTTTTGGCTGGCCTAAAAATGTTTGCTTTTTATTTTATCCACCCAGTAAGTCAGACCAACCAGGGTCATTTATTGGAGCTAATCAATTTTACTCTTAGTTTTGCTCTGAGAGTCATTATAATGTTTATTCACTGGGGCCAATGGCTGGGCCACAAAATAGTACCATGCAGAGCATAACTTTTCATTCCATGTGAAAGAGGCCACTGACACATATTCTCTCTCCAAGTGAGTAGGCTGTGGGGACAAACACCCACTAGGTCTCCTTCTATAATCCCTCTGTTTGGCTTTGCTATCCTCCATAGAAGAGATGAGCAAACACCTCTGACATCCTATCACCTTACTGTCCACATGTATATACTCCAACTCCCTCCTGCAGATTACGAGGGTAATAAATGATACCAAGTGAGGCCAGAGGTTTATCTCTTCAGTATCACCATTACTTTGATGCCCAACCAGCCTGACCCCTCCTCTTAGCTAAGCCATTTTCTTTATTTGTTGTCCTATTATTCTAATCAGATTTAAAGTTCCCCACTATATCCTGATTCTTTACTCTCCTGAAATCTTAAGGTATAAATTACATGATCTGTAATAGTAATAATAGTAATAGTAATAAATGTCTCTAAGAAATTGGTTTTATTTTTTCAGCCAGGAATATCAGCTCCACTATCACTTTTGGAGTGTGAACTAAAGTATCACATGCTGTTCAGAGCATTTGGAACACAAGGGGGAATGTAATGAGAAGTCTGCTCTTAGAGAGCTCATCGTGAGATAGACTGTGGTGCAGTGGGGAGTCTGTATGCACAGAATGTCCTAAATAATGGGTTATTGCTCTATATAAAGGGATAGAAACAAGTTATTTTTTAAAAATTACCACTTACAAATCATAATGTATTCCAATTTCTTACCAGGTGAGAATATTTTCTTTTTCTTTTTTTTAAAGATTGATTTATTTATACAAAAGCTGGGGTAACAGACCAGAGGTGCCGGGTCGGGGGAGGTATGGGCAGGAGCAAGAGGATTCACCAGAGACAGAGTGGGGAACAAAACAGGCGGATTCAATGGAATACACTGTTGAGGGGAGCAGCGGGTGAGTCAGGAGAGGTCTGCTGCGCCACATGGGTTGCTCCCTGGCCGCCCGGGGATAGAACTCGTGCTACAGAGGCTGCGGATTGCTTCATAGTGCTGTGCTTAACCCCTTGTACCACCAGGGAGGCCCGGTGAAAATATTTTCAATGTTTCTTCTAATTAGAAGATTTTCACACATGGAAAAGGACGATACTTCTGAATTCTTTTCAATTTAATTTCATAGAAAGAAATCAAAGATACTGGGGGAGGACTTAGGGGAACAAGTTTGAAAAAGGCAATGCTCAAGTGCCTACAATATGCTAAATATTATGCTAAGGTTCTGGGGACTCAACAGTGAGCAAAATCCAACAGTGCTCTTGCACTAATGGAGCTTACAGTGCAATAGAATTGCAGATAAAGATGTTACGGGTAAATGGCAAATTACAATAGTGGTAAGCATCACAAAGGGAAGTCTCAGAGTACTGAGGGACTTGAAGGCTTCCCTGAGGAAATGACATCTACAGGAGAGCTGTGAAGGTACAAAGAGTGTAATCAAAGTGGAAAGAAGTGTATGTACAATGTCTATGACCTGAGTCTTAAGGAACTGAGAGCCCTGTAGAAGGGCTAGAGACAGATCATTGGGAAATGAGAGCAAAGAAGGGGAGAAGACAGATCTTGTGGAGTAGTCTGGGTTACTTTACTTTTAGGATATATCTTCATTCGAAAGGCAACAGATATCCACTACTGAAGAATTTTAGCTGTGTTACTATTTAAATACAGGATCACTTGGGCATAGTTCCAGGTACAAAATAGTAGATCAGTAAATGTTGAACCCCTCTTAAACACTGCAAAATTTACTTTTTATTGCAGTAGTGTACTTAATCAGTTAACAATCACAGAATTTTTATAAAATGAATTAGCATTATTTAATTTTAATTTAATGTCCATCTTCTCCCAAGTTAATAAAGTAAAATTCAAATTGCAGTGGAAAGTAGAAGTTGTTTATTGAATCATAATATTATCTTGGATATTGTTAAAAATTAAGTACAACTAAGTGAGACTCATTTTGTATTTGATTTTGTTTAGTTTTAAGTACTACATATTTTGTAGAATATATTCATACCAAGATGAAACAGAAGCAATAAAACAATATAAAGTTGTAAATGACAATTTAAGGCATCAGAAGTTCAATATTATAAATTTATGCAGCAAGATATGCCTTCAAGGAAGGTTGAGGAACTTATCTAGAAACCTTCTGAAGTTTTTAGCATATCAAGAATCCAATCCATAATACAGTGTTTATGCACTATTTACAAAGATATCTGGCTATTCAAATTTCTTCTATTTCTTTCAAATGTTTTTGCTAAAATTCATTAAGATGGTTTGCAAACAATAAAATAATTTTACCTAATGTATTTCAGCAATGCAGCTTTACATTTGCATAGAGAGAAAGAAGCTATTCTTACTGACTGAAAAAAAGTTAAGAATCTTTGGTAGATTACCAGAGCTACCAGACAGGCATGACATCCGGGAACCACATTCTCCCCAGGTATTTGGAGACTTCAGTGTGGATTTCATCTAAGCTATACTCATCATCAGGGATCAAAACTTCCTCCATTATAGAAAGATGGGTCAGCCTTCTCCCACATAGCCTTACAAACTCAATGAATGCACTGCAGCTAACTTCACATTCACTGAGGCCCAAAGCTGTTAACTTTTTACAGTGTTCAGCAATACAAATAAGTTCATTATCAAGAATTTGAAGACCATTAGCAGATATTACCAACTCTATTAGTCGTGGACAGTTAAGACCTATCCTCCCTAGGATTGCTTTGCTTATTGAACGACCAAAATAAAGGTGAGTGACAGGAGTTTCTTCTTTGAAGAATGTTTCAAATTCCTCTTCTAATAAAAAGAAGTACATAACAATATTAACTCCAGGAGAATGTTTAACAAGTGCATCCCAACTTTGTTTGTGAATAGTATGAAATTCAATTTGTCCAGGGTTTTCATTCACAACATCAATTCGAAGATGTTCAAGGTTAACGTGAGTCTTACTTGAAAGTGCTAGGAGAAGTTCATCACTTAAAATGTAGTAATTCAATGTCAGTTCTCTAAGGCCTTGACAATGATCAGCTACACAAAGGATTCCTGTGAAAAATGGGGAAAGATTCCTAAGAACAAAGAATTATAGTTACACTAATATATCAAGTTAATTTAAAAAGCGCTATCAGTTATTATTTGCTAAAATAGACATTTAATGTCTTTTGAGGATATGGATGCCAAGATACAGAAAATCATGTATATGTAATAATAAAATATATAATATATAATATATATAATAAAATATTCTCAAGAGAAACAATTTAAACTATATTTACCTTGCAGATTAAGACTTCTTTTGAAAAAAGATTACTTTGATAAATTATGTTTCATAATCACATAATTATCAATAAAAACTTGCTACTATTACTATAAAAAACATAATTCAAGCTACCGGATGCTATCACTTTTATGTGGACTATAAAGAAACTAGACAAAGGGTCAGGTAAAGCCAAACTCAAAAACTAGCCCTCAAAAGTTGATCAGAGAACTGAGGCATCCAAAGAGGGAGTGTGAGGAGGCGGGGTAAGAACAAAGTGGGGAGGAAGCAAAATGGATTAAAGTGATGGACTAAGGGTCCTTTGGGACTGGGAGTGGTAGGATAACTACATCTGAAGGGGGGACCCTATACTTCCAAAATACCAACAACAATGTGTATTGTTACCAATTAAAAAAATTAAAATGTATATACACATATATATATAAAACCTACCATCAGATGAAACATGAGGACAGCTACTCATTTTTAGGAGTCGGAGAGTGTCACTATTATTTGCCACAAGAATTTTCAATGAAAGATCATCCACTGGTGTGTCTTCAATTTTGACTGATGATAATGACTTTGAGTTGTCAAAAACAACTCTAAGTGCTGACACAAAATGAGACTTGCAAGTAAAAAGAAAGAATTATGAAAACATTACTGAAAAATCTATAGCTCCAATCAAATAATTAAAATAATTTATGTCACCCTATACATATAACATAGTAAAAGCAATCAACGTATTTCTTTTATAGTATAATTAGCCAAGCAGAAGATATTTTTATGACAAAGTATAGTTTTATACTTTTACAACTGATAAATAGAATGCTGAGAAAGACATTTCAAAGATTTGTGAACATGTCTTCCAATTATTTTCAATGTTAAGGATTTGGTTTTCAACATAAAAAGGACATAATTAACCCATTTCTTAGAATAGGGCTTGGTACATTATAGTCTGCAGACCATATCCAGTCCATGAGTTAAGAATGGGTTTTACAATTGTAAATGATTGAAAAAAATTCAATAGTATTTTGTGACTTGTGAACATTATATGAAACTCTTCCAATGTTCATAATTAAGTCAGACTAGAACACAAACAAGTGCCTTCATTCACGTACTGTCCGGAGAACTGACATGCAAAAGTCTAAAATATTTATTATCTGCACCTTTTCAATCTCTATCCTAAGAATAAACAGAATTGTTATTCATTGTATTCACTCTTGTACTTCCTGCACTTAAAATAGCATATGGCACAGAGAAGGCCAGTATTTGTTGATAAAGAAATGAATGAATGATATCATATTTTTCAGGGGCATACTTTTGGTGGCAAATTATCTAAACAAAGATGTTTTGAAAACTTAATCCAGTTTGAAGACGGAAAAACCAGTGATTATTTACAGCTTGACCTCAAAATGGGTAGAATTTCACAAGTTTTCAGATCTGGTAGTTTTTGACAAAGAAAGTCTAGACTCCAAATTCAAGCATGATCATTTTTTCCTTTACAAAATCAATTTGGACTCTACCAACGCTTGTACCATACCTATCAGAATGACCAAATTGGTAATAAGTCTTAACTCATTTTAAAAATCTTACTGGTTTTTACTAATTGTAAACTGATTGATACAAAATTTTAAATGGCGGACAGCTAGACATCTTTACTAAGTTTTATGGTGTCAGCATTTATTGGAGAAATGTTTTACTCTTTCCTTAAGAAATATACTGTTTATGTGCCCATTAACCAATTCTGAATAATCTTTCAGTCCTAAAGGACCCATTAGAGAACACAATATATTTCATTATAGTATCAACATAATTGCTTAGCACTTTTTATTGCCTTGTGAAATGCTGTACTTTTATCTTTTTTTCCTTATTTTACAAATGAGACTATGAGAGATCCATGGCTTTGCCAGAAACCACAGAGCTCATTTAGCTATGGAGGAAGAACCTGGAATGAAGACTGCTCACTGCTGGTGCCTTGCTGTGGTTAGCACCAACTAATCTAGAAGCTGACCTTGGAAGCCCGTGTGCAACATTAAAAACAGCTTAGAATCTAAGAATTTCAGGCTAATTTGATTCCATAGTTCATAAACAAGGAAATAAATACTTAGAAGGAGTAAGCTTTCATCTGATTATATTACTTTAATCCCCAAATGACCCACTTTTCTTTAGTGTATGTCTTAAAAAGATAAACAGGCTAGCAAAAATGTTTGCTGAAAGAGAGCCACGACCCAGTTTAATAGAGAGAAGATGCTACTATTCCTCTATGATCATCTGCAGGAAAGTTTCCATTAGCCAGTTTTACTGACAACGATAACTTAGTTGCTTATTATCTATCAGGTATTATTCTAAATCTAGGTTTATAGTGGTAAAAAAACAAAATCGAATCCCTGCCTTCAAGCAGTGTATGCTTTGGTCTAGAAAGAGAATAACCATTTTAAATAAATAAGGTAACTTCAAGTACTGATGAAAAATATAAGGAGAATGTAATATGATAGACAGGAAATAGAGGGGGGTGCTATTTTTGCAAAAGTGGTCAAGGAAAGCATTTCTGAGGAGATGGCACTCAGGTTGAGGTCTTAATAAAGAGAGGACAGTTACTCTATTCTGTGGCAGAGACTGCTAGTATATTCCTAACAACTATTCATTCTTTCTTCATTGGTAACTCAGTCCTAAGTTTAGCTGGGCACATTGCCACTGACCTAGCCTGCCAGAGCTAAGTTCTGGGTAATGAATATATATGCATTATGTGGCACCCATGGCTGATCTCCTTGAAAAGAAGAAGACATACCCTTCTTTCCCCAATTCTTCCACTCAGTGGCCGAGAACAAGAATGTGATGGTTAGATCTTAGAAAGCCATCTTGGACAAAGAAGACACCTTGGAGAGAATGGATAGACTAGAGGCTGGGTTCCTAACACCTTTATATCTAATAACTTCATATATACGGTCTTACACATGAATTTCTTTAATGAAAGAGAAACTTATTATTTCTTTATTTTATTTCACTGTAGTTAAGAAATTTCTACTATGTGGACTCCACTAATTAGTAAATTTAATTAAATTTTATGTTGTTTCAACTCCAATAGAGAGATTATAGAATTATAAGAATTACAGGAAAAATATTTATTTATGCATACAAGAGCTGGGATACAGGCCAGAGGTATAGGGGGTAAGAGGATTCACCAGAGACAGAGTGGGGAGCAGAACAGGCAAACTGACCTAAGTACACTGCTGAGGGGAGCAGCAGGCGAGTCAGCAGAGGTCTGCTGCGCCATGTGGGTAGCTCCCTGGCTAGCTGGGGATAGAATTTGTGCTGTGTACAGCTTCATAGGTTGCATCTTAACCCCTTGCGCCACCAGGGAGGCCCATATCTAAATTTACCTGAAAAGGCCTCCCTGATGGCTCAGGGGTTAAAAACAGCACTGTCAAGCTATCCGTAGCCACTGCAGTGCAAGTTAGATCCTTGCCTGGCCAGGGAGCAACCCACACAGCGCAGCAGTCCTCTCCTGACTCGCCTGCTGCTCCCCTCAGCAGTGTATTTCAGTGGATCCTCCTGTTCTGCTCCCCACTCTCTCTGGTGAATCCTCTCAACCTGTCCCCAACACCTCTGGCTTACACCTCAGTTCTTGTATGCTTAAATAAATAAATCTTTAAGAAAAAAATTAATAAATTTTATCTGAATGACAGCTAATGTAGAAACAATTACTAAAATTATAAAGAATAAAACATGTACAAGGTAGTTTAGCACAAGTGTTAGTCAACAGAAAACTATTCTAACTAATATTCCGAATACAAGCAGGGTAAGGTCCATTTTAGGAAAATGACCTTTTTTGACTAGTTTGACAAAATTGAAGAATTTTAGTATATCTCAAAAAAATGTCTAGCATCTTTACCTTTAACATATTCATAAAACTTGGCTTGGCTGTTGAAATCAAGCCCAAGGTCTGGATAGAACAATTTACCAGCTGAGAAAGTATATCACAGGCAGCTTCTGCTGATTCAGTACTACTATCAACCTACAAAAACAAATTAAAATCTTAATTTCCTGAGAGTAACTTATAAAGATACTGGCAATATAATTATTAAATAGAATTCAATTACTAAATTTTAGTTATCACTTAAAGTTATAAAGTAAATCAGTGGTTTTTATATAAAATGTCTCTGAAAAAAAGCAAGAGACAATAACAAATTAACTTTCTAAGCACTTCCTTCACACTTCGAAATCTTTTGCAATTACCTGGATTTTAACAATAGCATCCGAAAGAAGGGAATTGAAGTTGACATTATTAAATAGCTCAAATTCTATATTTCAATCTACATAAAGATAGAAATACAGGAAATAGTTGGGATTAAAATCCTGTAAAATTCATTAATGGTGTTAATATAAGGATATAGATACACAAAATGTTAACAAATGTACATCACCATCTATTATTTAACGCTTATTTTTCTTACCTTAATGCTGACATACTGGAGATGGGCGGAATGTTTTTTAATGATCTGCTGAATGAGATCAGGATGAGTGGATTTAAAATAGGAAGTAGTTGATTGGTTCAGTTCAAATTCGAACTTTCTCCAAAGATCCGGAATATGAAAAACTTTATTCCATGTCCTACATACAGAAGATGCCCGGGCCCGATCAATTAAAGGAAGATACTGAAAAATGTGTAAGACTACATGATGAGGTAAACTTCCCCAGTCCAGAAGAAGAGAGCACACATGAGTCTGGTTGAGAGAAGAATTGAATCCAAGTTTTGATTGTTTCACTGCTGGTGATGACTGGACAATTTCATTCACCACAGATAAATTGTTCCTCTTCATTCTGTAAACATTAAAAATGTTAAGTGATCATCACTCCCATCGACAGATATTTGTGCTCTAATTGTACAATATTCGGAAATGAAAAACAATTAAATTTTACCAGCAATCTTCAACAGTCATTGCTAAGTACTGCTATATGTTAGGGATACAGAGATAAACGAGAGAGGACGTGTACTCAAACACCTATGGTCAAGTGCTGAAATGCAAGGTAAATGCCGTAAATGAAATTATGATAAACTGCAATGACAGAATAAACTAGTGGTATGTGATTGAGTTTGTGTGCAGGAAGAGATGACTGGAGAAATTTCCAAAAGGAAATATTCTAGGAAACAATGTGTGTGTCCCAAATTTAGTCCTGGTCAATTTCTATCTAATGTTTAGTAAAAACATTAAACTGCTGTAGTGCCAGGAAGGGCACAGAGCAGGTTTTCCATGATTCGGCAGACTGGGTAAAGGAGAGTCCTGGAGCCCTCGGTGGCTTTCTCAGGCTTTTATTGAGCTTTTACATGTAGTGCAGCAACCAGGTACATGGCAGGCAGGGATGCTGGGGTGCAAGCAGGCCTCCAGGCCCCCAGCAACTCTTCACTCTGGGCTTCTCTGGCCTTCTCTCTCCTGACTCTGTCTTCTGCTTCTCTTGGCAAGTATGTCATTACTGAGCCATGGCCCACAGAAGTAAACAAAACAACTTATAACAGTGTAACAAATGCAGGTGCCCACCATCAGGCATGCAATCCTAATGGTGGGAGGGCAGAAAAGCCTGAAAATCATTTACCCTTCAACCGCCAATTCACTGATAGAATCATCATATAGGATGTGAATACCAATAATTCTATTAAAATAAACACTCTTTTACCTTGTCTATATTGACTTTTAAAGCATAAAACCTGAGAAAACAAAATTCATATGAAATAACTTTATAACAATGAGCAACAGTGAAAACATTTTAGAATATAAGACAAATTGATCTTCACTAGCTTGAAAACCTTGATATAAAAACTCCAGCTAAAATATACACAGCCATTTAAAAAACTGGAATATTTCTTTCCGAACTACAAACTTTCTTACCTAAAAAAGGCTTCCAAGTTATAGTCCACTCAGATTAAATGTAATGAACTAACTGCTGCCCATGGGTACTCACCAGTATCCACTAGATTTCACTTTCTAGCTTGGCAAAATACCACAAAAACACATTCATCAGAATGTATTAGTAAAAATACAGTCATTTTTATGCTTTGGATATTTATATATAATTGTATATATTGAAGGACTTAGTTAGGAAATTGATTCCCAAAGTATTTTTTCTACTCAGAAGGAAACCTGTCCATTAAAAAAAAGCACTTGCCAGGAATTACACTTGAAGCTCTACTAAAATAGAAGGTGGGGTGGGGGGAATAGAAGGTTGTGGATCAAGGATCTGAAAATTCACATTTTGATAAAAATATATAGTAAGGTAATTAAAAAAATTTCAGGGAGTACAGGATTACATTTATTTACTTATAGGTTGTGTAAATCTCTCTGTTCGAGTTTTTAGCAACAGATAATGACATTAGAGTAATAAGTTAGTAAACTTAACTTTCATTATTTATCATTCCATAGACATAGCTTGTTTGGTCTACTGGTAACAGAACACATGCTCTGTAGTTTTAAATTTTTTCACTTCTATTGATAGATACAATCAATTCATTCACACTCAGTTGATATTCTCCTTGAAACTGGACCAAATTGAGGCACAGTGACATTAAAGTTAACAGCAGTCTATTGACATGGAAGAAAATAACAGTTCTACACCAAGATAAAACTCAGTGACTTCGCATCTTGACAAAAAACCATCAAATAAAAATACATAATAAATGCATTCTCTCTCTTTTGCAAGGCAAATTCAACTAGACATAAGAGGAGGAGCAACCTATGAATCCAATAAAAACATCTCTTAGGTCTCTACTGCCTAACATCTGCCTGCTCTCAATTTCTCTCTCAACCTTACACCTAAAATAGATTTTTAGAGGACAAACAGGAAGAATGCATTTGAGTTCAAAAAAAAATATTCACAATTTTATTTCTCCATTGTCATCTGTTCTATTATCCAAATCACTGTTTTCCAAATGGCAAGGCTGACTCTCCTCCCTCCACATTCTACCCTAAGAGACAGGCAGAAACTATCAGGCACACTTTCAGAGGCACATCATGAATAAGAAAAAGACAAGTCGATGTTTTGTATTCCCTAACTCAGCTGACATACGAGTTTATTCACCACTAAAACTCTTCTACTACGTTATCAATATGGCTAAAGCTGTGTTGGTAGGTCCTGCATTCATTATGCTATAGAATACTCAAGTAATCTGGAAAAGGTATATAAACAGGAAAAGTATATAAAAACACATTAAAAATACAGTGAACAAGTATCTACCTCAGTTCAGTTCATTGGTGTTTTCATGATCAGACTAATTATTTCCTTGGTTTTGAGGGAACTTGACTGCTGTTTCAGAGTCACCATCTGGAATTTTGAGGGTCAACAAGAACACAACCAGAATACAGGACCCCAGTAAGTGACAGCCATATTCTGCAAAGGGAGAGATGAGCAAGCACAACACTGCTCTTTAGCAGAGCGCAAAAGCGGTTTATCAGCATTTGTGAAAGAATGTGATGACTGAGACTCAAAAGTCACTTAGTAGCTTCACTACCCATCCTAACCCAATTTCCTCTTTTGATATGTTTACTAATTTGGTGGGTCAGGTAACCATGTGAATCAGATCCTCTGTATCTAGGAAATCTTCCATGGTATTTCGAGGAAAAGATTATCAAAAGACATTAAAGACTGACCATCCAAACCCAACACAATGGCCAAAATGGAAGGAATTATCTTCTACTCCATCCCCAAATTCACCCAAATGTTTATTAAATGAAAACATAGAATACTTTTAAAAGTTTCAATTTTTTAATTGTCACAAGACCAGAAATATGTATAAATATTACAGATAACAGAAGAGTCCAAACTACCTAACAGGCTAGACAAATCTGTTAGAAGCAGCAAGATGAAAATAACCAGAAATAGGGCCTCCCCGGTGGCGCAGCAGTTGAGCGCTGGGCTGCAAAGCTGCCTGCAGCCTCTGCAGTGCCAGTTAGATGCCCGGCCGCCAGCGAGGGACCCACATGGTGCGCAGACCTCTCCTGCTGCGCCCACTGCTCCCCTCAGCAGTGTATTTCATCAGTCTGCCTGTTCTGTTCCCCGCTCTGGCTCTGGTGAAGTCTATCACCCTCCCGCGCTCCTGACTGTACCCAGTGCTTGTATAAATAAATAAATAAATAAATACATCTTTAAAAAAAAAAGAAAAAGAAAAAGAAAATAACCAGAGGGCCTCCCTGGTGGCGCAGCGGTTGAGCACTGGGTTGCCAAGCTGCCCGCAGCCTCTGCAGCGCCGGTTCAATCCCCGGCTGCTCCCCGGCCACCGGAGGAGGGTCCCACATGGCGCACAGACCTCTCCTGCCGCCCGCTGCTCCCCTCAGCAGTGTACTTCGGTCCTTCTGCCTGCTCTGCTCCCCGCTCTGGCTCTGGTGAATTCTCTCACCCTCCTGCGCTTCTGACTGTACCCAGTGCTTGTATAAATAAATAAAAATAAATAAATAATAATAATAATAAAAAAGAAAATAACCAGAAATACTGACCAGATATCTTTTATTTAAGGTACTTCCAATTTTTTTTAAGATTTATTTATTTATGCATACAAGAACTGGGGTACAGGTCAGAGATGCTGGGGGTGAGAGGATTCGCCAGAGACAGAGTGGGGAGCAGAACAGGCAGACAGACTGAAATCCATACTTTCTAAAGGGGCACAGTGAGAAAGCAGATGGCTGCCACCACAGGCAGATGCTGCTAAGGAATCTGAAATTCCAGTCAATGGTGCTATGACAAAGGAGGTATTATCTAACAGGAGAACTGAAGAAGTGCTCCAAAAATACAGCTTTAAAACACAGTTTTCAAATAAAAGCCAATTATGTTAACAGTTGATATTGTCCTTGAAACCGGACCAAATTGAGGTACAGTGACATCAGAGTTAATAGCAGGCTATCGACATGGAAGAAAATAACAGTTCTACACTAAGATAAAGTACAACCCAAGAAGAAGACAAAACCTATTTTTTAGGAATGTTATCAAACATATTTATGTTTTTTGCAGCCCATGTGACCTCTAAGTTCTTGCCTAAATTTAAAAGCTACAATTTTTTTTAAATATAAGAAAGTCAACATCATCAAAGTTTCAACAAGACAAAAGATAGTAAGTATTCACATCCAATAAATCTTTTCCTAAACAAGTGATTGGAGGTTTTTGGTGTTATAACACTTTAGCAATTGTCTGCACTTGCTCAGAAATCATCCTGTGGTGTTAAGCTGTATTTAAAAAAAAAAAAAAAGCTTTTAAATTTGGAAGAGGAGGTTTGCTTTGAAATCACTATGAAACCTGAAGTTTCAAAATACATGCAGAGATGCTGAGATGCTAGGAGAGGGTTACAGAGAAACTTGGTTAGGCAATCTGTTAAAAATCACTGAAAAGGGGGCCTCCCTGGTGGCGCAAGGGGTTAAGCACAGCACTATGCAGCAATCAGCAGCCTCTGCAGCACAAGTTTGATCTCCTCAGGCCACAGAGCTACTCACATGGCTCAGCAGACCTCTCCTGTCTCGCCCACTGCTCCCCTTAGCAGAGTATTTCAGTCAGTCTGCCTGTTCTGTTCTCCGCTCTGTCTCTGGTGAATCCTCTCACCCCCCCCCCACATCTCTGGCCTGTACCCCAGCTCTTACATGCATAAATAAAATAAATCTTTAAAAAAAAAAAAATCACTGAAAGGCTGAGGGGCACTTTAGGCAGCACTTTCCATTTCCTTCCAGACTCTGAAAGAGAAAGGGGAGGGAGGTCACCAAGCCAGGCCATCTACCTGGAAGCACTTCTGAAGTGGGGGAGACTCTTACCTTCGTGGTGGGTACCTGGGGCATAAGAATTAGGTCAAAGAATTCAAGAAAGCGTTTTTGCAAGGCTTTTCTAAAAGAAAATAATTTAGTTTTCTACTTCATCTTTGAGGAAAAGTTTCTGGGCACAAAGACAAAACGGGAACATCTTAATAACTGGACTCACGGGAAAGCTTTGAGACTGCTTTTCTCTGTGGCAATTTCAACTCTTAGCCTGGAAACTTGCAGCAGTCACGCAAAAACCACAGCATTTTGGGCAAGCGCTGCTCCCAAGCTTCCACGCGGGCACACCTGACCGCCCTCCACAGATGGGCAAAATGACTGCACGCGGGGAACCCCGACCCCGCGCGGGGTCCTGGAGAAAGGCACACCCGGAGATGGTGAACGCAGACAGAAGACCCGACCTCGGGGTGAATCAAATGCCCGGGGCGGGGGGGGGCCCAGGCCTGGGTCTGCGGGTGGCTTCACTCCTCAGGGGGTGCCCCTCACCTCAGCCCCGGGCGGCCCCCGGCTGAGGAGGCCAGGGCACGCCTTCTCGCTCCCGACTAAAACGCCCCAGTGCCGGGGTCACCCTTCGCACACCACCACCCTGAGGCGGCTGGGCGGGGTCACCCGGTCACCCCTCCCCACATCACCGCCCGCCTGAGGCGGGACCCGGGCTCCAGCGCGCCTCCCTCGCAGCCAGCTGAGGCGACCGCGCTAAGACCACCGCGCCCCCAGAAGGAAACGCTACCTTCAGACAAACAACCGCGTGTTCCCGCGCGTGCCCCGGCGTTCGCAGGCGCTCAGGGGCGGCGGCCCAGGCCAGCCCTTCCCGCGCCCGGAGCGGCTGCCCCCAGAGCTCGCAGCGCGCGGCCGGGCGGGTGCGAGGACCTCCAAGAGCGCCGGCATCCCAGGCCCCGCCCCGCGTCGCAGCAGGCCACGCCCCCGGCACGCCCCCGACACGCCCCCAGGCAGCTACGCATGCGTCCTGCTTCACCTCCCGACGGCGCCGTCCGGCTCGCTGAGCTGCAGGCGTCCCCCGGTTCCCGCTGAAGCGGTGAGTGGGAAGTTTGCTGCCGCTTGGTCTTCAGCTAAATCGTCCTGTCAGCCTGCCATGCCATAGTAAAGCCGACGGCCAACTTTCCACACGGCAAAGAATTAACGTTCCAGCTTCTAGATGGTAAACCTCTCTGTATTAATACAAATCCTCGAAAGGAGACTTTTAAAATAGCAAAAGCGGTAACAGTTCTGTATTAAATACCTTTATATCATCACCGTGTCCTGTGTCACATCTGTGTTATCTCCTGGGAATAAACATTGCAGTTCCTTGTGCAAAACAAGGCATTCGATAAATACACAAGTATTTTGTGAGCGGTTAGGATTTATTACTTCTTTCTTTTTCTTTTGTTATTTTTTTTTTTTTTTTTGAAAACCTGAGGTCGAACTATATATATAATGTTCTGGAAATTCTTCTGTTGCTTACTACATCATGGACATAGTTCCATGTTAACACATAGATCCCCCTAATATTTTTTTTTTTTTTACAAATACCCTCATTCAGATATAATTGACAAACTGCACATATGTAAAGAGTACAATTTGATAAGTTTGGACACCCTTGAAGTCATGACTGTAATTAAAAAATTAATTTCCCAAAAGTTTCCTTTTGCCACCCATAACCTCTCCTTCATTCAGTTCTAAGAGCTGCTTTCTAACACTATAGATTACCGCGCATTTTCTAGATTTTTATATAAATTAAATCATGTCATATGTAGTCTTTTTTTGTCTGGCTTTTTGCACTCAACATTATTGTTTTCAGGTTCATCTGTGTTGTATCACAGTTCCTTTTTTAATGGCAGAGTAGTATTTTATTACATGGATATAAGCAAGTTTTGTTTATCCATTCACCTGATGATGGACATTTTGGTTATTTCTAGTTTGGAGCTATTACAAATAAAGTTGCTATGAACAGTATCATACACATTTTTGTTTGGACATATGCTTTCATTTCTCTTGGGTAAATACCTAGGAGTGCAATTGTATACAATTGGTGTGTATTTGTATAATAGGTGTGCATTGTATAATAGGTGTGTGTTTAACTTCTAAAAAGACTGTCCATTTGCTTTCCAAAGAGGTTGTTTTACGTTCTCACTAGCAATGTATCAGAGTTCCATTTCCTTCACATCTTCACCCACACTTTTAAATTTAATAGATATCTACAGGTATCACATTGAAGATTTAATGTACATTTCCCTAATGAATGATGATATTGAATATTTTTTTCATATGCTTATTTACCATTATACTTTTTTGTGGTGAGGGTCTTTTAAAATAGCTTTCCTTTGGGTGATGTATCTGTAAAGATGTCTTTGATGTGCAAATCACGTAGTGTTTTGCCTATATTTCCTTCTATATATTTTATGGTTTCAGGTCTTATTTCTAGTTCTTTAATCCATTTTGAGTTGATTTTTGTGCACCCAAAGCAGTGAGAGTGAAGGCAAAGATAAACAGCTGGGACTACATCAAATTAAAGAGCTCTGCACAGCAAAAGAGACAATAACAAAAACAAAGAGAAACCTCACCAACTGGGAGAACATTTTTGCACACAACACTAATGATAAAGGACTGATCACAAAAATCTGCACAGAGCTGATGAGACTCAACAACAACAAAGAAAATAACCCAGTCAAAAAATGGGCAGAAGAGCTAAGAAGAAACTTCTCTGAAGAGGAAATGCAAATGGCCAACAGGCATATGAAAAAATGTTCAACATCACTTGTCATCAGGGAAATGCAAATCAAAACTACCATGAGATACCATCTTACACCAGTGAGAATGGCACATATTAAAAAAACTAGCAACAACAAATGTTGGCGAGGGTGTGGAGAAAAAGGAACTCTCCTGCACTGTTGGTGGGAGTGCAAACTGGTCCAACCACTATGGAGAGCTGTGTGGAGATTTCTTGACCTACTAAACATAGAGCTTCCATATGATCCAGCAATTCCACTCCTAGGTATTTACCCAAAGGACACAGAAACATCAATTCCAAAGAACACCTGCACCCCTATGTTTATAGCAGCACTGTTTACAATAGCTAAGCTTTGGAAACAGCCTAAATGCCCAAAAATAGATGACTGGATCAAGAAGATGTGGTACATATATACCATGGAATATTACTCAGCATTCAAAAAAGATAAACACATGCAATTTGCAGCAACATGGATGGCACTGGAAGGGATCATGCTCAGTGAAATAAGCCAAAAAGAAAAAGAAAAATACCGGATGGTCTCACTCATAGCAGGAATCTAGAAAACTTAAATAAGGGACCAGGAAAATGAATAACTATAAGAAAGGGAAAATCAAAATCAACAAAAAACTATGAACCAGAGACACTTTGGGGGGTGGGGGGTGGAAGGGGAGGGATTGGGGTCCGAATGGGGGGGGTTGCAATTGTATGGGGAATATAAAAATAAAATTTATTATAAGAACATAAAATAAATTCTACTGCAACAAAACAAATAAATGTTTTCCCCAATTAAAAAAAATAAAATAAAATAGCTTTCCTGATTTTATTTTATTTTTAAGTTTGTCAGTCATTTATATGTTTATATAACTTTGAAACTACATATTTACTCCTCCACATGCATGCTATCCTTGCCCTCTACCAAACCTCCCATGTCAATGCTGTCCGTTTCTTTCCCCTACATCTTCCTCCCTCCCCCTTTTACCCTCTGGTAATCAGCAAATTTTTACTAAGCCTCAGATTTTTTTTTCCTGTATTTTGCCAATATGTTTCATTGTTGTTTATATTCCACAGATAGGTGAAATTACCTAATAACTTTGTTTCACTCTCTGACTTATTTCATTTAGCATAATCATGTCCAGTTCCACTATTTCATTTTTTAAATAGCTGTGTCAAATTCCATTGTTTATTCCATAATTTCTTTATCCAGTCATCTGTCAGTGGGCACTTAGGTCGGTTTAAGGACCTGGCAACTATGAACAGTGCTGCTGTTAACATAGAGGTACATATGTTTTTTTCAAATTAGAGTTTTTATATTATGGGGGTAAATATCTAGCAGAGGGATTGTTGAATTATAAGAGGTTTACATATTTCCTTAAAAAATCTCCATGCTGTTTTCCATAGAGGCTGTGCCAACTTGCATCCCCACCAATAGTAGACGAGAGTTGCTTTTTCTCCACATCCTCACTGACATTTGTTATTTCCATTCTTTTTGATATGAGCCAATCTCACAGGGATGGTGTCACATCTTGTGGTTTTGATTTACACTTTCCTTAAGTGATGTTGAACAATTTTTCCTGTGCCTGTAGGCCATCTGAACGTCTTCTTTGGAAAATGTTTGTTTAGGTCTTTTGCCCATTTTTTGATTGGGTTGTCTGTTGTTTTTGTTGTTGTTGGGTTGTATAAGCACTTTGCATATTTTGGAAATTAGTACCTTGTCAGATGTATGGTGTGTAAGTATGTTTTCCTAGTCTGCAGCTGCCTTTTTGTTTTTGTGAACAAAAGCTTTTTTGAGGTACAAAAGCTTTTTGAGGTATAAAAAGCTTTTTAGTTTGATGTAGTCCTACTTCTTTATTTTTGCTTTTGTTTCCCTTGTCATTGGTGTTACATTGCCAAATACATCTTGCAGTAGCTGTTCTTATTTTAAGTATTTTTATGGTTTCAGTTTTTATATGCAAATTTTTACTCTATTGGATTGATTTCTTTCTTTTTTTTTTTAAAGATTTATTCATTCATCTATACAAGAGCTGGGGTACAGGCCAGAGACGCAGGGGGTGGGGTGAGAGGAGTCACCAAAGACAGAGTGGGGAACAGAACAGGCAGACTGACCGAAGTACACTGGTGAGGGGAGCAGCGGGTGAGTCAGAAGAGGTCTGCTGCGCCATGTGGGATTCTCCCTGGCCGGCTGGGGATCGAACTTGTGCTGCAGAGGCTGTGGATTGCTTCATAGTGTGGTGCCCAAGCCCTTGCGCCACCAGGGAGGCCCTATTGAATGAATTTTCACATATAAAGTTAAATTTCCCTTCCTTCCTTCCTTTTTTCCCTCCCTCCTTTCTTACCTCCTTCCTTTCTTCCGTTTCTTCCTGCTGTTTGGCACAAGGCTATCCATGTTTCCCGACACATTTGTTAGAGATTTTCCTTTCTTGAGTGTATGGGCATGGTTGCTTTGTCAAAGATTAACTGTTTATATTTGTGTGGGCTTAACTCTGGACTTTTTATTCTATTCTATTGGTCTATGTTTCTGTTTTTGTTTTAATAGCATAATGTTTTGATTATGGTTACTGTGTAATACAGCCTGAAGTCAAGGAATGTGATACCTCTGTTTTTCTTCTTTTCTCTCAGGATTGCTGTGGCTATTTGGGGCTTTTTGTGGTTCCATATAAATTTTACAATTGTTTGTCCTAAAACATTGGGATTTTGAAAAAAGCCATTGGGATTTTGACAGATACAGAGTTGAATCTATCAATTGCTTTAGGTAATATGGCACCATTTTAATGCTATTTATTCATAGAACCAATGAGCATGGAATATCTTTCCATTTCTTTGTGTCTTCCTTTATTTCCTTTAACAGAGTCATAGTTTTCAATATATAGGTTGTTCACCTCCTTCATTAAGTTTTGGTACAATTGTAAATGAGATTGTCCTTTAATTTCCCTTTCTTCTGATACATTGTTTAATAAGGAAATTCAACTTTCATTTAATTTTGTATCCTGTCATATTGCTGTATTCATTTATTATTTTTAGTAAAAACTATTGGCTCTCTACGTATATTATCATGTCATTTGTGAACAGTAACAGTTTTACTTCTT